TGTGTGCACGCTCTCGCCTGCGTCCCCAGCGAGTAGGCCCATGGGCGCTTGCAGATCCGCGAAGCGCATCCCAAAGCAGCATGTTTCGTGACAAAACAGGCAGATTTCCTCGTTCTGGACGTCGATGGCCAGCCGACTCCCCGAGAAGACGCAGCGGAACGCGAATCGCCCTTCCGATGGATATAAAGCCCTCTCGTCCTCTCGTCTCTCGCCCTCCTCCAACTCTCTTCTCTTCCCTCAAGTCTCCCGGTACACTACTATCCTTTAATCTTCAACCTCGCCGACCGTCGTCATGCGCAGCCCCGTCATCGCCTTCGGTATCTTTGCCGCTGCCACCGTAGTCTCTTCTGCCCCCACCTCTCCCAACATCGGAGGTGGCACCATGATCCCTCACGGTGTCTCGGGCAATGTTGCGAACACCATCCCTCCGGTTGCGTTGAAACGGGACGACATCGGCGACGTCGTCCCTGCTCCCACTGTCGACGGCCGCAATCATCGCTCTACGCACAAACATCCCAAGCGCGCCTTGAATTCCGACACCGCAGGTGGTAATGCGTACTCTGGAGGCTCCAGCAGCTCCAGCGGTGGATCAGTCATCAACAACAGCGAGAATGACCCCGATGACGACATCACCAACGATACATCCAGTAAGTCAAGTCGCATCTCTCGATGAGCCCAATAATTGACTCATGTACCTCAGACGCTGCCGGTATCGCTGGTACCTCCGTCTCCGGTGACGCCGTAGGTGGCCGCGGCCGCAACCATGGCCCCGGTGGTAATGCCTACACTGGCGGCACGGGCAACGCTAATGGCGGAGCCGTCGTGAATGATGGAGGCGCCATTGCCAGTGCGGGAGGCTCCAGTAAGTAGCGGGTCAAAGTATATTTTCCCTTGCTGACTTGGCTTGTCAGACGTCGGCGGTGAGGGCAATGCCTCTACTAGTGGCGACGCAATCGGCGGTGACGCGAAGCGCAAGCGTGCCACGGACGACCAAACAGCTGGCGGTAATGCCTACACCGGTGCTTCTGGAGACACTGGCAGCGGCAATATCATTAACGAGGCTGACGACGACGCGACTATCACGAACGCGGGATTAAGCAGTGAGTAACTGTGCACACTGCACTTCAAAATGTCCCACCTAAATGCTGTTGACCTAGACACCGGAGATGTTGCTGGCACATCGACTAGTGGTGACGCTATCGGTGGTGAAGGAGACAACAAGGGTCCGGGTGGTAACGCCTACTCTGGCTCCGCCGGCCCGACGCGTGGTGGTACCGTCGAGAACGAGGGCGGCTCCGTCGACAACGCCGGCATGTCGAGTGAGTACCCGGTCCGTTTGTGATCGTGCTCTGCTTGACGCTCTCTTTTCAGACGCGGGCGGGAATGGCAGCGACTCTGTGAGCGGTGATGCTCTGGGTGGTGATGCACGCCGCTGAGCTGTCGATAGGTCGCGACTCGGAGATTATATACACGCATTACTCCTAATAAACATTCGTTCAGTCTTTGGAAGCGGAAGAGGCAGGGGGGATTTCTATATTGCCGACTAAATGTCGTCACGGTGACATCAGATCCCCTTGGTGGCAGATACTGTCGATCAAGGCGTGGGAAATCCGAACTTACAGGCGTACTCCGAGTGTACTCCGAGTGTAGACGGAACTTCGGCCACTTACGTATCCATGGGCTCATGCAGCTGAACAACATTATCCTCTGAGAATGGCTGGCACTTAGATGAGCATTTGCATGTCCTTCGTGAGCCACTGGCAGAGACTTAGCGTTCACGCTTCAGGTTTACAATTTTTTTAAGCTTACGGTTTCGAAGCCAGGACTCATGCAGAACGCGTGGCACGAAATAGTTATGCAACCGAGTCGACAACGACCACAACGGCCGACTATTGGTGTTTGTGAAGAGTGATGCCATAGAGTTCGACATTACACGAGTCATAAGTAGGCACAAGATCACTAGGCCGTTGTGTCCGCAGGGTCAACACCTCCAGAATTGACACCCGCGCCTTCCGAGTATCCTGCCTCCGCACAGCCAGAGGCAGACTCTCCGGCATCACCGGCGTTGTCTGCGAACGAGGTCAGCTTCAACACGTCGCAAACAATGCAGACGGGCGCGGGCCACTCACTCGAGTCGACGTTCATCATGCCGCCGGATCCGCTGACGTGTCCGCCGGTGGCGGAGCCGCTGTCGCCGGACGAGGCGTTGCCCCCGGTCGCGCCAAGCCCACCGCTCGCGCAGCCGGTCGACGACCCACCGCCGCTCCCGCCGTTGTTCGAGTTGAGGTTCATGATCGTGGGCATGCCGCCGTTGTCGCCGGTGTAGACGCTGCCGCCGTCGACGGCACCCGCGGTGCCGGTGTGCGCGTTCCCGCCGGTGGTCTGCCCGTCGTCGAGGCGCTTTGCGTGGCTGGGGAAGGGGGTGAGTCCCTGGAGGAGTTTGGTGGTGCGAGAGGTGGGTGCACTCACGGAGGGTTCACCCTGGACACGCCGTCGTCCTTCTTCCAGAACTCGACAAAGTCGCGGCCGCTGTTGGGTCAGAAGTCAGAGACGGGATGTGGGGGCCAAGAAGGATTGGCGACGTACCCGATGCTGTAGCCCATGACCGTCGCCACCTTGGGCTTCGATGCCGGTGCAGCGGGCGTGTCGGCGCGGGCAAAGACGTCGTTCAGGAATCCGAGGCCGCGCGCGGCCATGGTGCTGGAGCGGCGGTGCTCGAGGGTGGCGGGGACGCTCGAGTGCGCGGGGAGCGGAGAACCGAGCACAGACGGGCTGAGGGCCGAGACGGCCACGACGGAGAAGACGATGGCGGGGCTGCGCATGGCTGGCGGCTTGACGAGCTTGCTGGTCGAGAAATGAGTGACAAAGCGAGAGTGGAAAGGGTAGTAATGGCGAGGCGAGGTAGGCTGTGAGGATGGATGGTCGAGCGAGAGAAGGCTGCAGAGACGACGGCTGGCTGTCCGCCAGCCCTTTTCAACGGCTCGAAATTCGAAGACGAGGCTGACAAGTCTCCAATACCAACGTTACCTGCCGCATACGGACGACAGTCGTCCGGTTTTGGACGAGGGTGCAGCTCAGACGCTCCGGCATCTCGGCGGCATCTCGGACTCGGTTCGGAGGACATGGTTAAGAATTCTGGGGTATGTGTACGTAGGGTAATAATTCGCGACATAGGGAGAGCAACAAGGAGTGGCGCAGCGAGTAGAATCCAGTGAGATAGTAAGACAAAGCGGAAAGCAGCACTGAACGAGCGGAATCCTGGGTATCTTATAGTAAGGAGGCAGCATTATGTCTTCTGAAGCGTAGCGTATGCACGTTACTCATCTACTATCAGCCATTCGGTGTCTTGCTCGGCTCCTTCTCCGTGGGAGACAGAGTCCCATTCCTCGTCGTCGTGGACCCCGAGCTTCTCCTCGACTCCCCGTTTCCCGACGACTGGTCGTCCAAGGAAAGCGCTTCACTCGCCTCATCAGAGGTGGTCGACCCTTTCTTGGAGTTTAGCATGGCTTGCTTGCGTGATTGTAGCTCCTCGTACAACTGGTTAGCCTCGTTCATCCTGTTCACTTCCGCTTGCTTGGCATCAAGCCACCGTTGAAGCAGCTTCGCGTTGTCCTTGGTCAGGATCTGGTTGCGCTCTTCTATCTGACTCAGCTCCAGCTGAAGGGTGTTGATTTCATCGTGTAAGATCTATGCGACCCTGTAAGCGTCCTTGGAGCTCCATGGCGGTAGTAGAGACTTACCTGAGCGGTGCGATCTTTCTCTGACATGAGTTCGTTATGCTGGTCTACCTTCCGGCGCAGCACAGAGATCTCCTCTCTACTCTTCCGCAGGTTCTCTGACTCTATTCGAGAGAATTCCTCCTTCTCCCGGAGAGTCTCTGTCATGGAGAGCAACCGTTGTGCGTTCTGGCCTTGCGTCTTATACACGGTCGCCAGTTCGTCGCGCAATGATGATATCTGCGACTCGAGGGACGTGATATATGCGGCCCTGACGGGGTTGCTACGAAGCGACATGAGACAAAGGCCTGTGCTTTGAGTTGACTACGCACTCTTCTCCAGATCCTGGGACGAACACAGTTGAGCTGCTGGGGTTCGCTCGAGCGGTTCCCATCGCCCTGAGTAGCGAAGCATTGCGTTCTTTCAGCAACTTCGTCTGCTGTGCCAATCTGCGATCTTTTCAGCGTCCAGCAAGCAGAATCAGGATAGTACATAGCCAAAGTCGAGAGACAGCACGCCGAAGAGCATGGACGTACATTGCTCGATGATGGGGGAATAGGCGGACTCTTTTGCGTTGCGCTCGACAAGCCTGAGCCGAAGAGTCTCCTGCCACGACGGTTCGCCCATGCTGTATAGTGCTGCAGGAGCGTACGGCGGGTCTTGAAGCTGGTGAAAGCGTTGAGAGGCCCGAGCCCGCGCTGATTGCTCTGGAAGACACGAGTTCAGACGGAGCCTCAAAAGTCACGTCATACCGCATTCGGTCATCTGCGAGCTCCGCGTAAGTCGCTCGCACCGGGGCACAGTCGCCTCCATCTCTCAATCCACGACCACGACCTCGGAACGCTCCATCACGCCTCTCGCACCATTATATCCTATCCATAGCTGCCATGGGAAGAGTACTGCTCAAGGTGCGTGCTCCGCTACTCTTGTTGTTGGCGACATTGACCGTTTACCTCAACGTAGGTCATCATTTTGGGCGATAGTGGGTCAGTAGAGCCAAATTACGCAGTCGAAGTTACTGTACCCTGAACTGCCCGCTTCCACCTCATATAGCGTCGGCAAGACCTCGCTTATGAACCAGTATGTCAACAAGCGGTTCAGCAACCAGTACAAGGCCACAATCGGCGCCGACTTGTGAGTGGACTCGGTTTGCCTCGGAGGAGCGTTGGAGTGCTCATGCATGCGGTCTTGTAGCCTCACCAAGGAAGTAATGGTCGACGACCGTCTTGTGACCATGCAAGTACGTGAACATCCGTCTTGTCGGGGTCATGGCTAACAAGAGGGCAGCTATGGGATACGGCTGGTCAGGAGCGTTTCCAGTCTCTCGGTGTGGCCTTTTACCGAGGTGCAGACTGCTGCGTTCTCGTATACGATGTCAACAGCTCGAAATCTTTCGAGACTCTGGACAGTTGGCGCGATGAGTTCCTAATTCAGGCCAGCCCACACGATCCGGAGAACTTCCCGTTCGTCGTCCTCGGCAATAAGATTGATGTTGAAGAGAGCAAGCGGCAGGTTCGTTTTGGCTTTTGTATAAATTGGCATATACTGGAACAATTCTCTACAGGTCTCTCAGAAGCGCGCCATGACATGGTGTCAATCGAAGGGCAACATTCCCTACTTTGAGACCTCCGCAAAGGAGGCTATCAATGTGGAGCAAGCGTTCCAGACAGTCGCTAAGAACGCTCTCCAGCAAGAAGCAGAGGAGCAATTGTAAGTGTGGCTGCACCAAATGCTGCTATGGAGCTAAGTCTGCAGCCCTAGATACGTCGACTACCCAGACCCTATTCGTATCGACTCTGAGAGCTCACAGAACTACGGCTGCAGTTGCTGAGCACCTCTCACCTCTGGACACACCGAACACTGCCCTCCGCTACCGCTCATTATGGTACAGCCCACCGTTGACATATCTTTACATTCCTCGTGGCAAGCTCTGTCTAAGCTATTGTCGGATATCCGCGTTCATTTTGTTATCCCCGCGCACTCTGTACTACTGTATTTTTTCCTTTGAATTTATGGAAGGAGTGCATATATCATCTAGTTTGAAGACGACGCGTGTGTGCGACGTGTCCTGGCCTTTTAAGTGACTCAGACCTGGGCGAGGACCTGCCGGGTTCCGTGACGGACATTGCGCTTGATCCGGGGATCTCTGGGTCCGCGCTCTATAGCACCGGCACAAACAAACTCATAATCTACACAGCTCTGCGCACCATGGACGGATTTCACTAACCGGACTCTTCGGTTCGATCCTAACTACACAAGTGCTTCCCATCTTCTAATCTCGTCCTCCCCTCGCATCGTAATGCATAATCCCACCGGCTCGCGCGCGGTCGTGAACGCGTCTGCTGTCTCAGAAGAACCGATGGCTGCCAAGGCAGCACAGGACAGTCAAATTATCGTAGAAGGATGGGTATTGAAGAAGAGGAGGAAGAAGATGCAAGGTAAGTCTGTGGCTGGTCGCCTGCCATGAACCATCTCAGTGCCCCCTTGCAGGATTCGCCCGTCGTTACTTCACGCTATTCCGGTCGGGAGTCTTGTCGTATTCGTTCCACCCTGGCGAACCACCTCGCGACCAGCTTCTCTTGACACAAGCCGCCATAGCGACCGCTCCAGGTCGCAAAGACATCCACATCGACTCCCGTACCGCGACTTTCCACATCAAATGCCTGAGCGACGAGGACTTCAATAAATGGATGTCAGCATTCCGGTATGTCGTTGTTGCAGTGTCGCCAGCAGCCCAAGCCCAATCCTCGAGCCCATAGGACGTACATCGCTACGGACACTGCGACTGTCGGTCGGAAGTCGTCTATATCCAGACCGTCCAGGTCTGGTTCCAGAAATGCATATTACAACCGGTCTGGAGCATTAGTCGATGAGATTGGCACGGTGCGTATAGTATGGGAAGTTTTATACGCCGTTCTCATCGAAAATAGACCATAGCCGAGTTGCAGGGCGCGTTTACCGCGCTGCTAGAAGAGGATGCGAAACGGAGGTACAGCGTTACCTCACGTCCCAGTCTGCACGGCAAAGAACACAGCGGACCTGTGCTATCGCTTTTTAAGAACAGGAAACGTGGGCTGATCCGTTTCTAAATACCCCGTTGGCTTTCACTTACAGAAGTCGCAGCGTTCCATGGTGCACAGGGATCCACACATGAACCAACCGTCGATGACGGTCACCACTCGGACAGTAGTCATGGCAGCCCTGTGCTGTCTCCCGCTCAACAGAGGCTTCAAGTGGGGCTTCAGAGCCTGAAATACCAGCACTCTGCGCTGGTACAATCGCTCTTTACACATGCAGAACAAGGACCGTCGCTTCGCGCTTCTCCCCTTCTCGCAACTGCGAAAGAAGAGGAAGAAATCCAGACGCCTTCAACGGGGTATAGCACATTGAGTAGGGCATCCAATAGATCTCACCGCCTGAGCTCGCAGAGCGAGGCGAGTATCTGGTACGATGCTGAAGGGTACGACGGACCCGAAGAATTTATACTGGACGACACGCCGGCGGAAGAAAGCCCACCGGGCGCTAGCCAACTTTCCAGTGCTGATGTTGTATCGACCTCCCCATCCAATGACACCGAACTGAATTCTAGTGCGGGTTATGACTCGGAGTCAGATACGGAAGAAGGGGTTCCACAGAATGAGCAGTCAAAGTCTCCAGCTCCAGTTGAAGCGAACGTGTCGACCTCAACCTCAGTGCAGCAAATTGTGCGTCGTACTCAACTACCTTCGCCACCCGTTGGCGATGAAGGTAGCCTCTTCGCTGTGTTGAAGAAGAGCGTTGGGAAGGTCCGTAATAATCCTGACTCACGGCGAGGCAGATTTAACGGCATAAAATGTCTAGGATCTTGCCCAGATCGCACTGCCGGTGACGTTCAATGAACCGTTGACGCTCTTGCAAAGGATAGCGGAGGAGGTGGAATATTACGACCTGCTTGCCCAAGCAGCGAAATCCATAGATCCAGTGGAGCGGCTTTGTATTATTGCTGCATTTGCGGTCTCAGGGTATGCAAATACCAGATACCGTTCCGGAAGAAAAGGCTTGTAAGTCTACGGACTGATCCTATCTTCGCGCTACTCAGGATCGCTCCTACAGTAACCCAATGCTCGCAGAGACTTTCGAGGATCCTCGCATGCGCTTTATCGCGGAAAAAGTAAGCCATAATCCCGTCGTTCTCGCTTACCATGCGGAAGGGAATGAGTGGGAGCTTTACGCCACGTCCAGCGGAAAGACGAAGTTCTGGGGTAAGTGTCTTCCGAGGTTTATCTCCACCGACGTTGAACCGAGACAACCCAGGAAAGAGTCTCGAGATCATACCGCAAGGTGTCACTCATCTCGTTGTTGGGAAAGACCGCTATGAGTGGTAAGAGTTTTGGTCGCGTTCTGTGTGGCTCGGAGTAATGCTTAGTGTCTCACATCAGGACGAAGCCTTCTTCCTTCATGCGGAATCTTATGATGGGCACGAAATATCTCGAGCATTGTGGGAAGATGACCATCCAAAATACGACCACAGGTGCGCGCTGTGTCCTTGAATTCAAGGAAGCGGGCTACTGGGGCCCCTCCAATCAGGTCGCTGGTATCGTTTACTCGCCTGAGGGCAAGACGATGTCGCACTTGGAGGGCAAATGGGACGAGCAAATGGTGCAGAAGCTGGACGCGTCCCACCTTCGCATACTCTGGCGTATGACCCCTTTCCCCAAGAACGCCGACGACTACTACGGCTTTACATACTTCGGTATAACCCTCAATGAAATCACGCAAGACCTGGCGAACAAGCTACCGCCGACCGACTCGCGTCGACGTCCCGATGTTAGAGCACTGGAAGAGGGCAGCCTAGATTTGGCCGAGTCAGAGAAGGCACGGGTCGAGGAGTTGCAGCGAGAACGGCGAAGACAAGGGGAAGAACGCAAACCTCGGTGGTTTAAGAAGGTCGGTGAAGAATGGCAGTACGTGGGCGGGTACTGGGAAGAGCGAGCTAAGGGCTGGGACGGCATTGCGCCGCTGTGGTGATTTATGGTTTTAGAATGCTCTCATAGTGAACTTAGGACACGCTAATGGAATTCAGTACATCAGGGTCAAGGACATGTGGCAGGTGCTCACATGGCCCTTGCGCCTCACATTCGGATGTCTCGTCTCGGAGAGCAAGTTCTTGTGTGGTGCGACCGACGCTTCCGCGCGTTGTAGGTGCAGCCGTCCGCCACTCATCCTCAGAGCTGCCGCTATTTGTCCGCGTCTTATTCGCCTGCTTGACAGAGCGATAGCTTGCGCAACCCGAGCTGTATTGCAAGCTGCGTTGCGACTTCTTTGGACATTTTCGAGAAGTATAACTGTGCTGAGTACACCCGGGACATTCAAGCCAGACATCCCATATCTCGAGCTCTCACAAGATGGGATTAACACTGGTTATCTTGTTACACCTCGCCTTAAGCCTTTTGACTGGCGTTCAGGCTCAAGCCGGCCAGTATCAGCAGTGTGGCGGTATCGGATGGTCAGTCAAGTCACTCTCTTCGCCCCTAGTCCGATGGTCAACATGTCGACTGTTCTCAGGACTGGTGCAACTACTTGTACCAGTGGTTTGACGTGTACAGAGTTGAACGCGTGTACGTCGCCACGCAATTTCTGTAAATGATTTCCTCATATCATCGCAGATTACTACCAGTGTCTACCTGGGGCCGCCACCTCGAGCGTTCTGTCAAACCCCAGCAGCACTATCGCCAGTCAATCCAGCAGTAGTTCGAGCAGCGGTGGAGCAAGTTCCAGCAGCACAAGCTTAGCTCCGCCGTCCCAGACATCCGTAGCGAACGTCTCGCCGGAATGGGCCGCCGCCTACCAAAAGGTCGCCGTACTGTGCTTATGCTGGTTTGACTGTCATTGACCGATAGTATAAAGGCTCAGGCGGCCATTACTAAGCTCTCAGTGACAGACATGGTCAACCTCGGTACAGGTGTGATGATTTTTTGAGATATTTAAGGGATGTGTCTGGCTGACGGCTCGAGCTAGGCGTCCAATGGCAGAAAGGTCCTTGCGTTGGCAACACTCCTGCTATCTCGTCTATACCTGGTTTCAACGGTCTCTGCCTCC